GTGGTTTCTAAAGTTATGTCATGCATTTTCAGGAATACTTCTTCAGTTTCATCAGGACATGATCTGCTTTCCGATAGAGGTTCACATCGGTATGAAGAATGGAATGCTGATTTGCTTGGTTGTTGCTCAGAACCATCTCTGTGTAAGTCGTTTTTATGTCATTACTGCCCCATTATTGTGTTACATGCCTTCTTTCTGTTCTGTTTGGCATGATAGAAGTTGCAACATGAGATTTGAGATAGCTTAGCTTCAAGAGAGGGAAAGAAAACTCTCTTTGTATATTTTCCTTTTCTGTAGGGACAAGAGGAACAGAAATCTATTGTAAGATTTCTAGGACAGATATAATATGGTGGAACGTGGAAGACATTCCTGTTTTTCTTATCATCTGGTATCCTAAGCTAAATTTTCTCATTGCAGGTATAAAGACATTCTTCTATCCTTGTGGTACATTCTCAAAGATTGCGACCGTTGCAACAAACAGGCATATGTGTAAGTACTTCTGAATTATATTTTATTTATTTGGTCGTTTTATTGTAGCTTGAATGGTAATCTGTCTGATCCATAGCATCTGTGTTTCTATATTGCTTAACTTCCACGCATCAGTTACTATGAGAATTCAGCTTCCTTAAGAAAGGATCATGCTTGCTATTTGGAAACGTTATAGCAATTGCAACTCCTTTAGAATTCTGTTTTATGGGATTTTAGAATTCTGGTATTGTTTTGATTTTTGAAGCTTACACCGAAACTTTCTTCAGCTTCTGCAGAAGCATGCAACGAATTAATGGCGTATTCATTGATTTTGTCGTGCTGTTGTTACACTTGCTGTGTTAGAAGGAAGCTTCGCAAGACATTGAACATTATGGTATTTTCTCTGCCAGTAAAAGAGTCATCTACTTGCGAAATATAAAACCTTGAATCATAAGTTTTCTGCAATTTGTCTGTTCCATTGAAGAATATGGTACAAGTTCGGTTACATTGATCTCATTGCTCATCATATATTACTTCCGTGAGTGTGCTATATGTCGTGTTCTAGTAATCATAGCCATTGTAAGTATATGACCTAGAACCGTCTGAACATTATTATCATGGATAGCTCTATCATCTATGATTCTTCTTGGCCACATAATTCTCTGCATGGTTCAATGATTTTTACTTCCTATTGTTCACACTTCATAGTAAGTTTCAATCTCACTTGAAATCCAGTGTCCTCAAAATGTAACCCATTTCTTCCATTGTCAGGGTGGATTTATTGATGATTTCCTTTCTCATTTGATGTGCTGCTGTTGTGCCCTGGTTCAAGAATGGCGAGAAGTAGAGATGCGCGGGATCTACGGTATGCCCTACATATCGAAACCGAGAACCTCATGATCATGCTGAAATATCGTTTCCCCTAATAATTCTCAGACTGTCTTACATGCAATGTGATGTTTGGGGTATGGTTTGTTTATGTCATAAACTTGGCAATTCATGCTCATGATCTTGCAGGTCCAGAGAAGACTAAAACAAGCCCTCCACCATCACAGTTCATGGAATCATGAATGAAAGTACTGGAAGACAATATTCTGTTGAGAGCTTTGTATAAAAGCCGAATAAAGAAGGTAAAATTAGTTGCCAATAACAAATTGAAGCCGTACTAAAAGCTTGCTTCGAATCGACAGATGTTTAAATATATATATTTCTATGCATGTAAATTAGTGAAATTGTTATTGGAGATTGAACACGTGTTCTTTTTGGTTGTTGTATCAGACACTGATTTTCAGTAAGCATATAGTGAGTGTTGCTATTTATTTATGCAGATATAAAAAATATATATAAATGTTAATTCTTAGTTTAATCTCGTATGAACTTTATGATGTGTCGAAATTATTTTTAGGCGGGAAAAGCTTGTAAGATGAAGTCATTGGTTGTATGGTTATTAAAATGATTTTTTTGTTCGAGTAAAATTAGCAAGCATGCATATTTATTCAGGGAGATATATTTTAAATTTTACTTTGTATTCGTAACTTCTCAAGGATTGAGATAACATGACCATTTATTTCAGGTACTAATTTATAGGGGTAGGGGTGTGCAAATCCGGGTACCCGAAGTGTTCGGATCTTCGGGTAATTGATTTCTCAGCCCGTGTTTCGACTCGGATGTTGCGGATACCCGGTAATCGGGTATCTTGATTAAATACGGGTACCCGGATACTCGGGTTTTTTCTTCAATTTATTAATTAAAAAAACACAAATTTAAATGTTCGAAACTTTGAATTACATAGACCAACATCCAAACATAGTTAAAAAATGTCATGTTAGCATCATTGTTCATTTTTTAATATGGGTGACCAAAACATAATCAAAACGCAACGTTATGAATAATTTTAAAAAAATAATAATCGAGTGACCAAAACATAAATTAGATAATATATAAGTGACCAAATAGGTAGTTTACCCTAAATAAAAATATATATGAATTATATGAGATAATATATAAGTGACCAAATAGGTATTTTACCCTAAATAATAATCGAGTGACCAAAACATAAATTAGATAATATATAAGTGAGCAAATAGGTAGTTTACCCTAAATAATAATTGAGTGACCAAAACATAAATTAGATAAGAGAAAATAACCTCATTGACCAAAAATGCCTTATAATATACGATTTTAACCAACTTTTTTTGGATTTGCCAAAATGACCAACTAAATCGCAACGCGATCGATAATTCTCAACGCGATCTCCGGTATCGCAAATCAGTTTCCAGATTCGCAACGCGAACTTGGACTATCGCAATGCGAACTTGGACTATCGCAATGCGAATATGTAAATCGCAATGCGATAGTCGATTCGCATTGCGATAGGCCAAGTTAGCGTTGCGATTTATTCCAAATTCGTTGCGATAGTCCAAAAGCGCAACGACTGGTGGTATTGCATTTGTTTCTTAAGAATTTTCTCTAAAAAGGTAGTATTCGCGCGGACGTGTCGAAGACACGTTTTACCACGACCACGACCACGACCACGACCCGAGACGAGACGAGACGAGACGGACGGCGGCGCGCGAGAGTCCCCCTTGTTCTCTATCACTCAACAAGGAAGTGGGAAAGCTAAGCCTTAAATACCATTCCCAATAGTGTTTCCAATACTATGTGGGATTGAGCATTACCAACACTTGTTTCCAATACAATGTGATTATTCAGGAAACAATTAACAATCATGCACCTTAAAACAACTGAATCAACAACCAATTGCATTAGTGTTATACGATTAAATATGTCATAATTAAAAGTCAATCTACAATCAATCGCGATTATTGCAATTTTAAGCAAAACATTCAAAAATAATATCACTATTTAAGGCTCAATCCCACATAGTATTGGGAACAAGTGTTGGTAATGCTCAATCCCACATAGTATTGGAAACACTATTGGGAATGATATTTAAGGTTTGGCTTTCCCACTTCCTTGTTGAGTGATAGAGAACAAGGGGGACTCTCGCGCGCCGCCACCGTCGTCGTCCGTCTCGTCTCGTCTCGGGTCGTGGTCGTGGTTAAAATCGTATATTATAAGGCATTTTTGGTCAATGAGGTTATTTTCTCATTAGATAATATATAAGTGACCAAATAGGTAGTTTACCCTAAAAAATCCCTAACTGGGTACTCGGGAAACCGAATACTCGAAAAAATTCAATTTTGTGACACGGGCCCGACCCGACAGAGTAATTTTTTTTAAAAAAATTACCCGAATTTTTTTAGGTTCGGATCGACAGATAGACGGATCAAATCAACCGAATCTAATATTTTTGTACACTCCTACCAATTTATAAGCACTGTGGTATGTTTTGATTGTTTTTGTGTGTAATCTATTCTCGAATGTGACATTAATCCCAATATAAAATATAAATTTAACCATGCTTCACCTTAAACGAATATTCGATCATACTTAACCTAAAACGATCAACAACTATTCTATCTTTCGATAAATATTTTAAAGACAAATTATTTTTCAACTCACTTGAGCCTCGATATTGACATCACCTGTAAAATTTAATCTTAATTCGATTCAAATAAGAGAATATCATTTGATCTAATTCGATTCAAATAAGAGAATATCATTCGATCAAAAGTAAGAATTCTTTTAACTTTTTAAATAATCAGAGATTAAAATAAAATATATTTTATTTTGAACAATATCCTTTAAGAGTGTGAGTTCATCATAAAAACCAAATCTTTCTCTTTTTTTTTCTTCAATTTAAAATTCAGAGTTTTAAATCAAGTTAAATTCTGTGTTGTATTTCATGTCTTACAATTTTTTTAATATTTTAAAAAATACAATTTAAAATGAATTATAAATTTTGTACATATTTTTACAAATTATTTTTTAAATTGTTGTTCAAGAGTATTGAAATAATATTAAAACAAAATTTTAGTTATAATTAAATGAATAAATGAAATATTATTTATTAAGTTAATATACTACGCCATCATATTTGACAACAATAAATGATAATGATCGATGTGGTAGTTATTTTATAATTAAATAAAAATTAATAATCAATTTATACTTCTGAATTTTTTAAGTAAAATAGTTAAGAAACTATTTTAATATAATTTAATACTCATTTATGTATTCTACCTTAAAATATTAACTTTTGCTAATATGAAGAGGGTGAAAGGAAAAATTATATAAATATATATAAAAAAGTTTTTTCAATTAATAATTACATATTTTAATTATTGTATTTAAAAAAAATTTCTTATTATAATATTAATATTTTTTAATTAAATTAATAATTTATTAACAGGTGGTTTTAGAAAATAGACGATAGAAAGTTGTAATCTCAAATTTTGTACAAAACGTAAATACTAGCATAGCGTTCCCTTTGAATCACACATGTCAACGTTTAGATGGTTTGATGAGAATTTGAAACAACACCCGTGATGCCACGTCTCTAATCCCAACCGCTCCATAAAGAGACCGACCCTTCCCAATAACACCCCCAACTCGCGCTCTATAAAAATCCCTAATTTCTTGGCCCAGAAAAATATAAGAAGAAGAAGAAAAAGGCCCAGATTAGCCGATCCCTCTTTCTTATCTTTCGAGAAATCGATAGCAAAAATGTCTTCGTCAGGGAGGAAGATTACTCTGAAGAGCTCGGACGGCGAATCGTTCGAGGTTGACGAAGCGGTGGCGCTGGAATCGCAGACGATAAAGCACATGATCGAGGACGATTGTGCTGATAACGGGATACCGTTGCCTAATGTTACGAGTAAGATCCTAGCGAAGGTGATCGAATACTGCAAAAAGCACGTCGAGGCTCCTAAGACCGACGATCGATCCGCCGAGGATGAACTTAAGAGTTGGGATGCTGACTTTGTCAGAGTCGATCAAGCCACTCTTTTCGATCTCATTCTGGTAAGCCCCTTTTTCTCTCTATCTCTTTTCCCTTGTTTTCTATTTCTTTGTTTATATCTCTATATCTTTTATGTTTCAATAATTTGCTAATGTTGTGTTGATTACTAGGTTAGGGTTTTAGAATTTAGGGGAACGAATTAAGAATATGATTTATTTTGGCCATATAATAATTGTGACCATTGCAGGATATGATATGGTTGGGGATTTAACTGGCTGTGAAGACAATTACGTTTCGATTTGTCTACTTTTGGTGATTTGTTGGTGCTTTAATTTTGCTAATGAATTAGAATATGTCATATTCTATGTGGTCGTAGATATGCCATAAATTTGAAAACAAGCCATTGTAGCGTATTTAGTATTACTAAGGATATAGAAAAAGCTGTGCTTCTATTTATCATGTTTTATCTTGGTTCTCACAACCGTTTGATGGTCTTGTTACACTGTAGAAGCAGAAGCCTAATCTTTAATTTTCATTGGACGAAAAGGTTTGAATCCTTATCAGTTCCTGGTTTAACAAATAACAAAAAGCATGTAACCCAGCATGAAAATTGATACTTCAATATTGTGTTCGAGGTTGTTCATATGTTTGCACTTACCAATAAGAACTGCAAACCCTATGATCAATTGTAGAATTGTTCAGTAATTGTTACTCTTGACTTATTTCATTGGTCATTTTTTTTAATATTACAGTGATCTTTGTAATATAAAATTTGCAGGCTGCTAACTATTTGAACATCAAGGGTTTGCTGGATCTTACTTGTCAAACTGTTGCTGACATGATCAAGGGAAAGACCCCGGAAGAGATCAGGAAGACTTTTAACATCAAGAATGACTTCACCCCTGAAGAGGAGGAAGAGGTTCGTAGGGAGAATCAGTGGGCATTTGAATGAAGTTTCGGCTATGGCCGTTCAATTGCATCAAACTTATATAAAATGTAGTTTCTTGCTCTGACTTTTCACCTGTTTTTTCATATATTATGTGAGCTGTTTAAACTCTACTAGTGTCGTCTATGTTCCTACCTGTCTTCAAACTTTGTCAAATCAGTCTGCTGTATCAAGTGATGTTGTTTAGTCATCGTTTCTGATATGAATGAGAATGGTTTGTCTAAATTGTGTTTGTCATCTTCAATATCCAGGTGTTACTATCCATGTTGAAAATAGAATAATTAAATCAAATCGAATTTTATAAATGAAATTGTATGTTGAAACAATCTTAATGTGTGATATTGGTATTTATACCAATATCAACAGGGAAATAAAGTTTTTGAGTCGATGAGTTGTCAAGACCTTTGGCAGACTTGTAAGAGAAGCTGTTGAGGTTTGTGAAAAGTGGGGACATTGAGATTGATAGCATTTGTTTGAACCAATGGAGAATGCATTATTTCAAGTAAATCCATTGTAGGAAGAAATTCATAAATCCCGATGAATGACATTTCACAGCCAGCAAACTAGCTTTCAGCAAGCTCAGCATCCCTTTGCTCCACACTCCCCCTTCATTGTTCACCTACTTTCAAATGATGAACAATGTCTTTCAAATCTACAAGATTACATCCAGCAACTCTATCTATACCCCTATCCTTCATTAACTGTTTTACTCTGGCAACATCCTCCCACTACCCTGCCACTGCGTAAACATTCAACAATAACTGATAATATGAGTTTTTAGGCTCTTTGTCAATCATAGATGCTGCTATTCTTTCCCCAATACTCACACCTCTCCTAAAACGACTTGAGATGAGCAAGTTAGCAAAGAGCACAGAATCAGACGATACATCCTCAGCAATATTTGACATTTGCCTTGGGATCTCCTCTGCCACTTGAGAAAGTTCGGCACCAACATAAAGATTTGCCAGGCACCAATAATGACCAAAGTTTGGCTGAAATAATTTCTGCCCTCTGTTACCAACCCTGCATGAGCACAAGCACTCAGGACGCCAACAAAGAGATTTCATCAGGAGAAATACCTGCTTCTCCTCTAACCGTACATCCATCCGCGAATAATTTTAGTCCATCTTTTGGATTCCCATGAATGCAGTGCCCCAAAATCATTGCATTCCAGCAAACTCGGTTCCTATTTGTGATCTTATCGAACATTCTACGAGCTAATCCTATTTTCTGGCAGTTACAATACAAATTAACCAAAGCCGTATCAATTATTATATTCAACTTCATGTCATCCTTGATTAAAAATCCATGAACTGATCTCCCTTACTTTAATCTAGCCGACTTAGAACAGGCACTAAGCACACTAGCCACAGTCTTCTCATTCCCTATAAATCCAAGTTCCACCATTTGTCTAAACAACTTCGATGCGCACCCCGGATTCCCGGCTTTTAAATACACCCTTTAATCATAATATTCCAAGAAATCACATTCTTTTCGGGCATTCTATCGAACAGGTTGCGAGCCACACCCAAATTCCAAACTTTAACACAGGCATCAATAAAAGAGTTCCATGAGGCAATATCCTTTTGAGCCATTTCAAGAAACACTTTCTTAGCAAACTCAAGAATCCCACAACAACCATACATATGAATCAAACAGTTCTGTACCGGCAAATTATCGACTACCCCAAATTTAATTGCCTGCCGTGACACTTTCGGGCGGTTTTAGAACAACCTGTTTTTGAACAAGAGCTTAAAAGTGGCACAAAAGTATAACTTTTGGGAATGAAGCATCCGTGAGTCCGCAGCTGAAAATAAAGAACCACAACTTGATGGGGCAAAGAACTAAAACAGTAAGCTTTGATAACAGAATTAACACGGAAAGTATCAGGATCCTCAATGCACCGAAAATTGAAACAATGAAATCAATGTTAAATCGAAACAATGAAATCAATGTTGCCGACCTTTGAAGAATACATCAAAACCCCGTCTACCCAAGAGGGGTTTTGGAAGAGACCCGATGTAATCAAGTGAGCCTGGATTTGAAACAATTTCTTTATATCTTGACACGAATCGAAAGGGTTTTTGGGCGAGGAAAAGTGCTTACTTTGGACGCAGTAGAATAAAATAGCGATGAAAATTGGTGGTTGGATTTCGATGAAGAGAAGATGAGAGTTGGGTTAGCGAATACGGTGTATCTGAAACGAAGGAGTTCACGAATGGACGTTCTTGCCATTCATTTGGTATTAAGTTTTGATGCTTTCTGCTCCAATTCAATTCGATTGCCACCATTGAAGCATGTTACAGAAGGTCATAAGGAGAATCCCGTAGCAGAGAAAAGCGCGAGAGATATCACACATGGTTGCTCCTGGTTAGCAAATAGCTTAATTAGAAAACAAGGGCACAAACTACACCGTATTTCTCAAATAGTTGTTATAATTTTTATTTTGATTTATTCATATGTTTAATGTTATAAATATTATCATTTGAGATGCTTTAGTTGTAATAATTGTTAAATTCTACTATTAAAGAATACGTGTCCAATTCATGTATAGTTTGAAAATGTATTGTTTGAACGATGTTTTTTATTCAAAGTATTTAAAAGTTTGATGTAAGGATTTATAAAGAAAAATGATGCCCATTTATACTCAAAATTGAAGCAAAATATCAAATAATAAATCACATGTTGATTTCAAAAATTATAGCCTTTTAACAAGTGTCAAGATCAATTGGTTGATTTGAGAAGGTAATGTAATTGGTTCAACTTTGTCTTATCTTTTTTTGGTTTTCATTATTAATCCTTGGTCTTTGTGAATGTTTTTTAGATGTCCTACTATTCTAGCATGATCTTCAAATAACAGGTGGACATGATGGCACAACTAATACATTCCACTGCTAGACTTCTTAGAGAGCATTTCTGTTCAAGTTCTCAGAATCTTCTATTTGTTCAATTTTCATAGACTCCTTTTAACGGAGATAGTGTAGAAATATCAATCTAAAAATAGAATTCTCGAGTGCTTTTATGTAGTAAACAAAAACATATGTTTCTTAACTCCTTTAGTCCGCATTCCATCTGAAGTCATTCTTTAAATCAAACTTTTGTCCGTATCACATTATTTAAATTATACTTCATTAAATTTGATGTTTTTATCCTTGCTTCAATTTTACTTGAAGATTCATCTTGACACAAAGTGACTAGTGTCATGATCTGAATGTAATCTACATAAAGTTAGAGCTCTCGACATGACCCATACTTTAGCGGAATACCTCTAATTAGAGGATTCAAATGTCATAATCTTCTACTTGACAACATGAATGAAACTTCATAAAGCTTGGACATTACCTCTATAACTACTTCAGACATTACCTCTGAAGATTATCAACTTATTATTTTTAGCGAAGTGCCCTTAACAATATTAAAATTAGTTTGCATTAATATCACATTATTACCCTAATTTTTCGATTTTTCAATTTCTTAAGCTCAACAAGAAGAATTTGTTGTAGTTTGAGTATCATTGAAAGTCGTGAAATTTCATTTTTAGAGCTCAATTTCCAAGTAACTAATCAAAGTCAAATTCATTTATTCCACCATTCCATTTGTAAAAATTGTAGATCGTCACCAAACTTACTCAACATATACATAAACAAATTGGTCTTACAATGTTATACACTAAAGATGCCCCATCCTATTCACTTCCGAACTTGCTTAAGCATCGGATGTTTTCATTGTGTAAGGGAAACATTACCTTTGTTTCTTTGGGTAAAAGGTATGATGATAAGTCAAATGGTAAATAAATCTTATTTTTCAAGGAATTTGATCTCGTCACATATCAAAAGGCTATAACCTCGATTCTTAAATATGCATTTCATTATATTTTATATTCACTGAAATTCAAAAATGCTTCATTACTCATATTTCTTAATGATAAAAAATGTTCATATATAAAAAGACAAACTCAAACTAGACATATAATTCTTTAGGTGACACAATATCTTGATAAGTTGGTGATGATCTCTTCTTTGGTTCATCCCAGGATTCCCCATTCAATTTGCACCCCATTTTTCGATTAATTCTTGAGTTATCACTCTACTAGCAACAAACTTTTCTATTGCTTCCATGAGTGATATACATTTTCTAGTAGGCTGATCAGATGCCCCTATGTCAAAGTCACATGTGCTATTTGGATCATAGCTAGGCAAACATGGTAGTCAATACTCTCAAAGGTTTTTGAGTGACATATCGACCTTTGATCAAATGTAGAAGTAACTCTAAGATAGGCACTTGAAACATCTTGAGGTTCGTGTTTGCCCAAGACAATTTCTGTGGTGGATGTTGGCAAATAGTCATTGTTTCTTCCGTTTTGTCTCTTCTATGTTGTTTAATATGTGACTTTTCGTGTGATTGATCTTCAACATATGAGTCATGATGGGATGACTCTTGGTCTCAAATTCTATAACTCCATGATCCAAGAGGTTTTGGATCTGACACTTAAAGTTTATACATTTCTCGATGGAGTGTCCTTAAATTTCAGCATGGTATTCACAATTAGACTTTTCATCATACCATCTTAGATATGGGGAAGACAATGGTTTAACATATTTTGGTGCAATCAATCGTCCTTCGAGCAACTTATAATATACCTCATAGCATCGTAATAAATGAATTGGATCAGATTGGGGACCTTTGGATTCCAACTTTCCATTGTCTTCATCAGTTCCCTTATGAGAATCTAATAACACGTCATGTTGTGGTGAATGAGGCTTTGATGACTGATTTTGTAGTGATGAGTCATGATTGGTGTGTTGTAAAAGATTAAGGGATTGATTCACGAGAGTCTAGTACTCCACTTTTTCTATATTCTTGGGTTCTTCAATTGATGTTGAGCTTTTGGGGAACACATATTTTCCATTTTTGAAACATAGTAATATATCTACGATGAGATTTTGAACCCTTTGCCTTATGATCCCACAATTCTCTATAGTGTGACTGAAATAACTATAATGGTATTCCTATGAATTTTTTATACCTTGCCAGTCTGGCCATAAATAACTGTTAGGCCTTGGCGGGATTGACGTCAAAATGTGATTCTGGAATAGATGGGGTAACAACTTAGAGTATGACCCCAGTATTGGGACAATTTGTGTCTTCTTCTTCTTTCTCTTAACCTTCTTAGCTGTTGTCTTGGCTTCTTCCATGCCTTTTTTTCTTTGAGTAAGTTGTGCCATTGTCTTCTATTA